GGGTCAGCCAACCTTCCTACACTTCTGAGGATCCTCAGGCTTCCTGAAGACTCTTGCTCAGAGACACAGCTTTCCTCCTGAGCCAGAGAGCGGAGAGAATACCAGCACACCACAAATAGAAGGGTGCTGCTTTGACTGCTGTGTGCTGGGGGAGCCTCGCTTAGAAAGCTGCATCTTCCTCTCCTTTCTCCATGAACAATTTGTCTTCTTGCTTTCACGACAGGGAAACCTTCCCTTCTTTAAGTGGTATGTGGAGAAAGGGGTCAGGCATAAGTCTCCCCAGTGCAAAATAAATCACAGTCAGAAGTTCACACCCTTCCTGATCCACTGCCCTGTATCCCTTGAGATCCCTGTGGTTTTGTGGAATAAAAGAACTGACAGAACAGAGCCACAAAAGCCTCAGCTGAGATGGCAGCTCTTCTACTTTCTCAAAGCTCTGAGCTTTAGTTTTCTCAACCTCAAAAAGGCACGAGAAGTCTCACAGGATTGTTATGCGAATCAAATGAAATGATTTCTACATAGTACGTGGCACACAGTAGGTGCTCAAAAAACTCTTTACTGAACTGAAGTGAGCAAGAATAGTTGCTGATCTCTTGGGTCCCTCTCATGTGCCAGGCACTGCTCAAGTCACACTACACATAAAAACTCATTTAATCCTCACAACCTTATGAGGTGGGTACTACTACTATCCCCATTTTATAGATGAGGAAACTGAGAGGGGTTAGTCAACATTCTCAAGGTCACACAGCTAGTAGGTATCTGTATTAGTTTCCCAGGGCTGCTGTAACAAATTATCATAAAGTGATAATTTAAAACAACAGAAATTTAACCTCTCAGAGTTCCAGAAGCCAGAAATCAAGATATTGGCAAGGTTAGTTCCTTTGAGAGGCTCTGAGGGAGAATCCAGTCCACGTGTCTCTCCTGGCGTCTGGTGGTTGCCGGCAATCCTTGGCATGCTTTGGCTTTTAGTTGCATCACTCCAATCTGCTGTCTCCATCTTCACCCAACCTTCTTCCTTGTGTCTCCCCTCCATGTTTCTGTCTCCAAATTTCCCTCTTCTTATAAGAACACCAATCATTAGACTTCGGGCTCACTCTAATCAATTATGACCTCACTGTAACTCAATTACATCAGCAGCAAAGTCCTTTTGCCAAATAAAGTCACATTCATAGGTATCAGGGGTTAGGACTTCAGCATATCTTTTTGAGGGACACAATTTGGCCCACTGCAGTCTCTGAGACAGAATCTGAACCCTGGCCATCTTAACCAAGTCCTTCACATCTGCATTATCTGCTTAGCTGATTAATAACTGTCAAAAATCATTCAAATATTAGATTGTTATTATTACTATTGTTATCTCTAAATCTAGCTAGAAGTCAGTGCTATGGTACATTTATGCCACCTAGGAACCCTGAATTTCCTTATTCCAGGTATTTTTCCAAGCCCTGGATGCCTTTATAGACTCTCTACGGCCAAAACAAATTCATTCTCACGTGGGTGAGATTTTCACGGGACACTTGAGTGAGTGGTGCTTGATGGCTTTGCTCTCCCCGACGGCCCACCTTCCATCTGAGTTTCTTCAAACAAACCAACCCAGGAATATGATAAATGTCATAAGGACATCTTAGTCTTTCCAAAGACTAAGTGACCCTCAGGCCACTTGCTCAACACATGGGGAGCCTTGTGTGCCACGACAGGAAATGAAGAGAGGGTATCCAGCCCCTCCCTCCCCGGGGCCTGAAGCATGCCTGACTGGGCCTGGCTGGCATGGCCACGTACTCTTCTTGCCTAGCAGTTTTCTTTCTCTGATTGCTCTGACCTGCTTGCCTGATGCTACATCAGAGGAGGTCTGAATCACAGCTCACCTGAAGGCACTTCCTCCCAGGACCTGAGGTTAAGAGAACAAGCCAGGGAGCTCAGTGCAGGTGTTTACTCCAGGTGTCAACAATGCTAATTCTCATATATGCCCCCAGGACAACGGCTGAACAATTCTGATTTATCCTAGGACAACTCCCTCTCTATCATAATCGAGTTTTTTCCTTTTTTTTTAAAACTATAAAGGACCATGTACCTTTACTTCTAGGCCACTAACGTATCTTAGAAAAAAATGATAAAATGAACTGATTCATATTTGATCTCATTTCAACTTCCAATCACCTTTTTTTTTTTTTTTTTTTAACATCTTTATTGGAGTATAAGTGCTTTACAATGGTGTGTTAAAGGGAGATCAGCTCGGTGCTTTGTGACCACTGAGAGGGGTTGGGATAGGGAGGGTGGTAGGGAAACGCAAGAGGGAGGAGATATGGGGATATACGTAAATGTATAGCTGATTCACTATGTTATAAAACAGATCACCCTCCCTATCCCACCCCTCTAGATGGTCACAAGGCACCGAGCTGATCTCCCTGTGCTATGCAGCTGCTTCCCACTAGCTATCTATTTCACACTTGGTAGTACATGTAAGTCCATGACACTCTCTCACTTCATCCCAGCTTACCCTTCCCCCTCCCCATGTCCTCAAGTCCAGTCTCCACGTCTGCATCCTTATTCATGTCCTGCCCCTAGGTTCTTCAGAACCATTTTTTTTTGTTTTTTTTTAGATTCCATATTATAGGTGTTAGCATATGGTATTTGTTTTTCCCCTTCTGACTTCACTCTGTATGACAGACTCTAGGTCCATCCACCTCACTACAAATAACTCAATTTCGTTTCTTTTCACAGCTGAGTAATATTCCATCGTATATATGTGCCACATTTTCTTTATCCATTCATCTGTTGATTGACACTTAGGTTGCGTCCATGTCCTGGCTATTGGCTATTGTAAATAGAGCTGCAATGAACATTGTGGTACATGACTTTTTGAATTACGATTTACTCAGGGTATATACCCAGTAGTGGGATTGCTGGGTCATATGGTAGTTTTATTTTCAGTTTTTTAAGGAACCTCCATTGTGGCTATATCAATTTACCTTCCCACCAACAATGCAAGAGGGTTTGCTTTTCTCCACACGCTCTTCAGCATTTATTGTTTGTAGATTTTTTTGATGATGGCCATTCTGACTGGTGTGAGGTGATACCTCACTGTAGTTTTGATTTGCATTTCTCTAATGATTAGTGATGTTGAGCATCCTTTCATGTGTTTGTTGGCAATCTTTATATCTTCTTTGGAGAAATGTCTGTTTAGGTCTTCTGCCCATTTTTGGATTCAGTTGTTTTTTCGATACTGAGCTGCATGAGCTGCTTGTATATTTTGGAGATTAATCCTTTATCAGTTGCTTTGTTTGCAAATATTTTCTCCCATTCTGGGGGTTGTCTTTTCATCTTGCTTATGGTTTCCTTTGCTGTGCAAAAGCTTTTAAGTTTCATTAGGTTCCATTTGTTTATTTTTGTTTTTATTTCCATTTCTCTAGGAGGTGGGTCAGAAAGGATCTTGCTGTGATTTATGTCATAGAGTGTTCTGCCTATGTTTTCCTCTAAGAGTTTTATAGTGTCTGGCCTTACATTTAGGTGTTTAATCCATTTTGAGTTTATTTTTGTGTATGGTGTTAGGGAGTGTTCTAATTTCATTCTTCTACATGTAGCTGTACATTTTCCCAGCACCACTTATTGAAGAGCCCGTCTTTTCTCCATTGTATATTCTTGCCTCCTTTATCAAAAATAAGGTGACCATATGTGCGTGGGTTTATTTCTGGGCTTTCTATCTTGTTCCATTGATCTATATTTCTGTTTTTGTGCCAGTACCATACTGTATTGATTACTGTAGCTTTGTAGTATAGCCTGTAGTCTGGGAGCCTGATTCCTCCAGCTCTGCTTTTCTTTCTCAAGATTGCTTTGGCTACTTGGGGTCTTTTGTGTTTCCATACAAATTGTGAAATTTTTTGTGCTAATTCTGTGAAAAATGCCATTGGTAATTTGATAAGGAGTGTACTGAATCTGTAGATTGCTTTGGGTAGTATCACCATTTCCACAGTGTTGATTCTTCCAGTCCAAGAACATGGTATATCTCTCCATCTGTTTGCATCATCTTTAATTTCTTTCATCAGTGTCTTACAGTTTTCTGTATACAGGTCTTCTGTCTCCTTAGGTACGTTTATTCTTAGTTATTTTATTCTTTTTGTTGCAGTGATAAATGGGAGTGTTTCCTTAATTTCTCTTCCTGATCTTTCATTGTTAGTGTATAGGAATGCAAGAGATTTCTGTGCATTAATTTTGTATCCTGCTACTTTACCAAATTCATTGATTAGCTCTAGTAGTTTTCTGGTAGCATCTTTAGGATTCTCTATGTATAGTATCATGTCATCTGCAAACAGCGACAACTTTACTTCTTCTTTCCCGATTTGGATTCCTTTTCTTTTTCTTCTCTGACTGCTGTGGCTAAAACTTGCAGAACTATGTTGAATAACAGTGGTGAGAGTGGACAACCTTGTCTTGTTCCTGATTTTAGAGGAAATGGTTTCAGTTTTTCACCACTGAGAACGATGTTGGCTGTGGGTCTGTCATATATGGCCTTTATTATGTTGAGGTAAGTTCCCTCTATGCCTACTTTCTGCAGGGTTTTTATCATAAATGGGTGTTGAATTTTGTCAAAAGCTTTCTCTGCATCTATTGAGATGATCATATGGTTTTTCTCCTTCAATTTGTTAATGTGGTTTATCACACTGATTGATTTGCGTATATTGAAGAATCCCTGCATTCCTGGGATAAACCCCACTTGATCATGGTGTATGATCCTCTTAATGTGCCGTTGGATTCTGTTTGCTAGTATTTTGATGAGGATTTTTGCACCTATGTTCATCAGTGATATTGGCCTGTAGTTTTCTTTCTTTGTGACATCTTTGTCTGGTTTTGGTATCAAGGTGATGGTGGCCTCGTAGAATGAGTTTGGGAGTGTTCCTCCCTCTGCTATATTTTGGAAGAGTTTGAGAAGGACAGGTGTTAGCTCTTCTCTAAATGTTTCATAGAATTTGCCTGTGAAGCCATCTGGTCTTGGGCTTTTGTTTGTTGGAAGATTTTTAATCACAGTCTCAATTTCAGTGCTTGCGATTGGTCTGTTTATATTTTCTATTCCTTCCTGGTTCAGTCTCGGAAGGTTTAAATCGCCCTTTAACAGTCTTCTGGTTTTATTTTATAGGTTTGGGAAAGGGGTGAGTTGGGAGGCCTGAGGCAGCCAGGTTTTTGTTTGTGTGTTTGCTGTATGCCGGAAGTTCTCTTACTGTCTGTCTCCCCACCACCCAGGAGCAGTTGCTGAGGGATTACAGTGTCTGTGGGGTGGCTCAGCATAACCTTTATTCTAAGAAATGCACATCTTGCTCCGTATCCACACCCTCCCCCACCCCACATCAGATTCTCTTGGGACACAGAGCTGAGCAGTTTCAGAGCCTATCCTTGAAGAGCTGAGAGTGTGCTGATGGAGTGAGACAAGAGTGGGACAGTGGAACAGAGCACTATGGACATGGTCCTGGAGGAGCATGCAGCCAATGGCCTGTGAGCCAGGAAAGGCACAGGGAGGGGAGCTGCTGCCTGAGCGATGTCTTGAAGAAATGTGGGAGGTGGCAGGGACTGTGGCGTGGGGAACTGATCAGTCCGGGTCCTGGCAAGAAACAGATAATTTGAGTCATCTGAGGAGAGTTTAATAAGGGACTGGTTACAAAGATGAGGGCAGAGTGCAGGGAAACCCCAGGGGATACTACAGTACCTGTGGGAGCTCTCAGCATCCCAAGGCTTGAGGGGGCAGGGCAGTGAGAGGTCATCAGAAGCCAGAAAGAGACAGAACTGTGTGCCACCTGGCAGGAACTCTCATGACAGTAAAGAAGGCTGCTGATGCAGTACACACAGGCCAGCCTCCCTGGGCACCCAGCATGGCAGAGAGCAGATCTGGAGGAAGGAACAAAGAAAGCTCTGCATCACAGAGACAGGAGACGGAAGAACATTCCTTGCAAGGGAAACTGCACATAGAAAGGCAAGGAGTGACAAAACAGCGGTTTGCCTGGGCACAGGGACATGGGACATGCTGAGGGCCTGGTAGGAGATGGGAACAGAGGGAGGTCAGGGCCTGAGCAGGGGAATGATGTAGTTGGTAATAATGGTGGTGTGAAGGGTATCTTGGAGGAGGACAGGAGCAGGAGAAGGGAGGCCAATAAAGAGGTTACCGCAATATGGAATGTCTGGGGGAAGAGGAAGAATCTGGACCCAGGGCTTGCCAGTCAGAAGAGCTGGACTCAAATCCCTGCTCTGCTGCTTACAACTGTGAGACGCTGGGTGAGTCTTTTAATCCTCAAGTTATAGTTTTGCCATCTGCAGACACGGGAGCTGTCACGAGAATCAGCGTTTGGGTAAACCAGGTGCCAAGCACAGGGCAGGGTGACTGACACACCCTGGAGTTATGCGGTGCACAGGCTGCGCAGCCAGACTGGTCAACCTGAGTCCAGGCAAGAAGAGCTGAAGGCCTAATTAAGGCACCGGCAGTGATCACAGGTAGCACATAGATTCGAGAGTCTTCTCTCTGGATGTGAGAATAAGGAAGGGGAAGACTCCGAGTTGTGTAACTTGGGTGACTTGGCTAAACATTAACTAGGTCAAGGGGCACAGAAACAGGAAAAAGTTGAGGGGACAGGGAAGGAAGAAGAGGAACGTGGTTCTAAACATGTCAAGTCTCGGGAGCCACCAAAGCACTCAGGTGGACTTGCCTATGAGACAACTGGAAACAAGGGATCGAGGAGAGAGGCAAGATTTATGAGTCATCAGGACTGAGAGGGTGGCTGAAGCCATGGGAAATATGAGATACCCTGAGAAGAAGTAGAACGAGAAGAGAAGGGGTCACTGAGAGAATCCCATTAACAGTATCCATTTAAATGGAGCACCTAACGGGGAGAGTCAGCCAAAACAAAAAAAAAAAAAAAAAAAAAAAAAAAAATAGAGCAGGAAAAGACCAGGAGAGCAGAGGAGGAACAAGAGAAAACCACCATGGAAGCTGAGGGAGGAGAGAGACTCCATGGTCCATAGCACTAAGTGCTTCAGAGAGAATGAATGGGATGAGGCCAGACAGTGAGCCAGAGACTTAGTAACTAAGGCATCCCTGGTGAACTCAGCGACGGCAGCCTCCATAGGGAGCACAGGAAGCCCAATTATAACGAGCTGAAAAATGAGTGGGGGGTTTTGGAAATATATACAGCAAATGCAATCATTCCAAAAGCCTAGCACTGAAAGAGCAAGATACCACGGTAGGCTGCGGGAGGATAATTTCTTTTTAGGATGGTGAAACCCGAGCCTATTTTTAGGCTAAAAAAGGAACAAAACAGAGAGAGCCTCCAGGTTGAGGGGAAATACAGAGAAAATGATGGCTCAAGAAACAGAGACAGCAGAAGACCGGGTCCAACTGGAGAAGCTCACCTCGGAAAAGAGGCAGCAGTGCTTCCTCTGGGTCGACAGGGCACCGACTGTGAACCTGCTGCACCCCGGTCTGGCTCCCTCCCCCCTTCCTAGAGAGCACTACGGTGGCCCTTCTGAAGTAGCTAAGCCTTTCCCTGGCAGAGAGTTGAGCCTGATGTGCAAGTAGGAGGAACGAGACTGGCTGAGGCAAGAGGTCAGCGTAACTGATCTCTGATGAAAAGCAGAGGCTGTTTTACCTGCAACAGACCTGCATTTTATCGTCCCTTACTTACTTCCCTTTCCTCAGGGTGAGGATGACTCCCAGAAAGAGACGTGGATCAAAAGGAAAGCATGTGCAATCAGAAATATTTTGCTGCAGTCTTCTTGGGAGATATGTATGAATTCATCCTGACTCTGACGGCCTGAAGGACGAGGCTCATGTAAATACATGGGGTGGGGAGGTGAGGAGGGAGGCCTGGCCAGGGACACTAAAAGCTCTCTGGGGACCCGGTTTATGAGCACTTGCAGTTTCAATCTTACATTTAGCTTGTCAAATGCCTCTTCATCAGCTAAGGCATCCGACAGGCTTAATTGTTTCCTTAGGGCTTTGTCCTTCCCATCAGTGAACAAAGGCAGTTGGGAGGGATTTGGGTTTAGCTCTTTTGATAAAAGAAATACTTTTTAACACACATATACACACACATAAAAATAGATGTGTGTGCATGTGTATTATGCGCATGTGTGTATATATACACGTGTGCGTACACACACACACACATATACATATTTTTTCTTTTGTTATTAGTGTTTTGGGAGTAGGGATAGGTAGATCTGACCACTGGCCTGCTGCTGGCATGGCCACTCCAACTTTGGAAGGAAACGCACCAGCAATACCTCACCACCTCCAGCCATCAAATGCCATCTTCAACAACTGATTATGTGCCAGTACGAGACGATGAGGGAAAACGAGCCCATGTGCAGATCACGACCATCAGGGTTTGCCCTTCTGAGGCTCTTCCCCTCCAGAAAACCTTTTAGTGGGGCCATTATTAAAAACAAGAGGAACACATTTACTGTTTGTTATGGTTTCATTTCTCCCATCCACCCTCTGATAGTTACAAGACAAACTGGACAAGAGATAAAGTCAAAGACCAAGAAAATCAAAAGAAGACCATCAGCTCCTCAAGCCAAGAGCTAATGCACAGCAGTAAGAGAGTATGGGGGTCAGCATCCTTGGCCAACTTGAGGAGGGAGCAGGTATATTTTCAAAGGCAGCCTTGCTTTGTGGTTAATCCCACAGCATGAAGAGATGCTGGGCTCTCTCCCGGAGCAAAGCTGAACAAGGCCACTTGACTGCTCATTTCTCAGTGTTCTCAACTGCAGTGCTGCCTTTTCAATAGTCATTTGTGTGCTGTTCATTACCTCCTATTAGAACACATGTTCGGAAGTTCTAATGTTAATATTTTTTGTCACCTTCCCCAAATATCTTTACATATGAGTCACATTCAGGGCTCAACAAATGCTTGCAGGTTGGTTGGTTCGTCCGTCCATCCGTCCATCCGTCCATCCGTCCATCCAATCCTGGATAAAGGTCTATAGAATGAGTGTACCCACTTCCTGGGAATTTCATAAAGATTTAAGAAATCAATTTGATTTAACAAATATGATTTGAGCACAATTATGTACAAGGCAGTTGTCAAGGAGACATAAAGATGAATAAGATGTAGCACCTACTAAAAAATACAAGACAGGTAAACACATAACTACAGTACAAGGATGAGCTATATAGCCTTTGGGTCCAAAGGAGAAACAGAAATTAGATCCCCACTGGGGGAATGAGTATGAAATCAGGAAAGAATTCCTGGTGGACGTGTATTTAAAATAAACCTTGAAAGATGAATACGAATTTGACAGGCAGAAACGTTAAACCAAACACAAAGAACTCAGTTAATCATGATTTGATCATGACTGCCACCAGCAACTAGGAAAGGCTGTAACTCCTCAATAAGTGCTTCTCAGAGCCTCCCGATAAAGGATGTGGGGACTTGCAGACAGTTTAGCTTTTCTCATTGCAAATTTCCTGAATTCCATGCATTATCCTCTGGACCTCCCAGTCAGCCTCACCTCCACAGTTTGAGGTCTGTGCTGCCAGTAAAGGAAGACCAGGCTCACAATGGCTATACTCTTAGAGGTGGGACACCACCACCCTTCCTCCAAACTGTGCCAAGACACAAGGAGGGGCCCACAGAGGGCTTCCCAGCCAGGCTGGCGGACAGGGCACTGCCACACAGCATCTAGCCTGGTGTGTAGTGCAGAATGTCCAGCTGCCACTGTGGGGATGAGCTATATGATACTGTCCTACAGCTACAATCCTAGAGACTATCTACTAATAGTAAGGACTAGTAGACAGGGGCTACAGCTCTGAATCAAGAGCAATCTTTCTTTACTTGCTTTTGGTGTTAAGGTTGGTCACATAATAATCCTTACACACTAGTGTGCATCACAGACCCTATGCCAACTTCCCCATATCCATATAAATCCAGGCCACTTAGGGCATCATAAGGTCTCCTCTTACACAAATCCTTTCCCCTTAAGTGATCTGAAACGCACCAACACAAGATTAGTTTGTTTTGAATAAGACGACGTCTCTAACAACATGCAAATACCTCCTGGGAAACTAAAGTAAAATCTATCAATCGTTCAAGCATTAAGTTACTAAAAAAGTTAAACTGGTTTACTTTTCCTCCCACAGTAGGACTACCAATTATAAACCCTCCTAGCTTGAGATGCAAAATATTCAAAGAGGTTTATAATGCTTATTGGCACCAGGGGTCTTACCTTGGAATCGATAAACCTCAGGACTATGGGGTCCATGAATTGACAGAAAAACCAAACTTTTGCAAGTATATACAAGAATTAATTTTTCTAGGCAGAGAATCCAGTTCTCACCATATTCTCAAAGGTGTCTGTGTTCCATAAAAGGTCAAGACCATTCAATGGACACCCAGGCAAGTGTCCACTTGGTAGCAAGAAGAGAAGTCAAGGGGAGAAGTGCTGGTTTTATTGATACTCTGCACATACTTTCCCATCTGAGACTCTTCGATGCTTTGCACAAACTCTAAATTGATTCTCTTTATGTACTCAAGGAGAACAGGAAGCACAGAGTAATGGAATTTGAAACTAGGCAGTCATTTAGTAATAGAACTGGGACCAGGCCTGGTTTCCCTGTTCCCCTGGTTCTTCCTCCACAGGGAAATTCCCTCCCTGCTAGACAGTGTTTAATTATGGGAAGTTTTCTAAACTTGGCCTAATTGAATTTTCCATCATTATTAGTGTAAAAGATGCCCTCTAAGGTCTGGCACAGAGAGACTGATCCAGAGGTTTAACTTTGATCATGCCGGTGGCCGTCTTCAGTTTTCTGCTGTGCACACGTATTCATTCTCTGGCTGGCTTCATGCCTCCTTTGGGCTGTGCTTTTGGCCATCAAGAAGGGCAGAGAATAAGGCCACCAAGATGATAAGTAGGCTTAACAGCCTTTTTGAAATGAATGTTTTAGTGCAGCAAACAAGTGAATCAAGCCTGCCCTAGCTTTGACATGCAGTATTTATTGAGCACCTACTATATAGTAAGGATCCTTCCAGGCAGTAGGGATACAGTAGTGCACAAAACAGGTGTGGTCTCAGCTTTCGTGGAGCTTAGGCTTAAGTGTTACCATGACAAAAATTTCCACCCTTTTGTCATGATTGAATTTAATAATCAAGCAGGATCCACCAGAGGCAGAGAACAGATGTAAAACTACCAAAGATTCAAGCTGAAGTCACTGGGATTTGTTTTCTCCCCCCACTCCTCAAGAAAGAGGATTCTCCCTTATTTACTCTCTATATTCAGACTGTCACTAGGCTGAATGACCCAAGGTTACAATAGCTCACAGACTGACCCCTTTCTATGCTGTCTTTATACGACATCCCTTTATATGGACACTCTTCCCATTATCCTCAGATTACTGGGCAATCTTTCCCTTGTTCACCTCCCTGACATGAGTCTCTTCACATCTAGGGTGCACTGCATTCCATGCCACACTGGTTGCCCTAAAACATCACTTTCACTTTGGAACGCTGAGTCAAAGCCCTCATGGGAAGACTGTAAGTATGGATGTGGAAGCAAGTCCTTGATACATTACTGAGAGAAAAACAGGCTCCTGGTAGAACTAGACACAGAATATCAGATTTTGAGAAAACATCTGAGTGTCTATATTTGCATACAGAGTGGTACTAGAAGGAACAGATGTTGAAGGAAGGGCATTTGACTTTTTCCTTTATAAAACTCTGTCACGACTTTATTTTTAATAACAAACATGTATTATTTGGTCATGTTAAAGCTCACACCTCAGGCATATTCCCCTGAGCCTTACCTGAAAACTGTCACAGAAAGGAGGGGTCACTGTGAGGACCCTGAGGAGGTGAGCCCTCAGGAGGTGAGCTGTGCCTCACCTGTCTCTGCATTCCTGATGCTTTCTACACAGTGCATATGATGCCCTTGAAGTCGAAGGGATCAAAGACAAGGAGGAAGGAGAGAGGAAAAGAAAGTCTTGTATGCGCCTGCTAACACGAGCATGGGACACAGAGCCAGAGAATGAATTATGGGTCTGCAATCCCTTGCTGGAGACTCACAGTCTATCCTAGGTGTTTACCGAGTCTTCCCAAGCACAAGGGACTTTATCAGCCTGTAAAGATTAAAGCGCAGAACTTGCTTTTAAGGAAAGATAAAGAAAGGTGAAAGATAAAAAATGCATGTAACTATGTAGGTTTGAAAGCAAACAAAAGAGAAGGAGGCAGAGAAAAATGAAACAAGAGGAGACTCAAGAGGAGAAGGAGAGGTGGCACTGCAGAAGAACCTAGGAAATGCTGCTGTATCTGGAGACGTGGAGAGCACAGACAATAAACTTGGAGGGAGCAATTTCTACCAAGTGACGGAAATCAGTGTCGGACTACAAGGAACCGCAGGATGGCGGGCACTGGTGAGGACACGCTCAGTGCTTTGGGAGGAAGCCCAGAGTTAATAAAAGGTGTGCCCTTGAATGGGGTTATCAGGACTGAGGGAGATTACTTCAGGACAGGAGAGACCGGAACACATTGCTAGGGAGAGAGGGCGAGCCCAGGGAAAGTGAGAGGTGGAGTGGTTGGGGGAAGGATAGAAATGCTCACGGTGCTGAAGAAACAAGCGAAGATGGGTCTAAAACACAGAGAGGCAGAGGGGACAGAGCGACAGAGGGCAGCGACACAAAGATGTTTGAAGAAGAGGAGGAAACCTGAGGAACCTCCCAGAAGATGGGAGTCACCTAAGGAGAGTGAAGATGTACCAACAGAGCTGACAGGTGGAAAAGGTCTTGGCACTTTAGCAAGTGGAATTTCTACCAGGGACAAATAATGGACTGCAGAGCAGCGCTGGGGAACTAAGTGAAGCCAGAGAGCATGAATGATTTTCCTTCCCCTTCTTAGTTCATAAGCTTCTCCATGCATAAAATTGGGTAATTCCTACTCATGCATATCTATAAAAAGATACTGTCTGTGAAAGGTTCTGGAGCTAGAGGGAATAAAAACATCAACTCTACCTGAAACATCCATCACGACGAGAGTGATGGACACTCATAGCCTTCAGATGGGCTGGCCCAGAAATGATATGAAAAGAAGTTAGATAGAGGTCGATAGGCTGGGCTGCTTCCAGATTCCTGGTTATCAGTTTTCCCAGCTTAGTAGAGGCCCTTCAAGAAACTCACACAATGGGAGGCTGAAGGAGGAGCAGAGAGTCATCCTTAGAAAAATAATATGGGAAGATGGAGACAGTCACCCTGTCCCTTGTAAATCACAGAAAGAACAAATGAGACATGCATGTAACCAGAGCAAAGAACTGGCTCCAGCTCCAAGTCTGCTCATCCTTCCCTGATCCTTCATACCTCGGCCCCTCCCTCCATAATCCAGTGACAATGGAGTGAAGGGAACACATGCCAGGGTTTGAGCTGGGGACTTGGGTGTGTGTAGGTTTGAAAGAAGGGAGCTCATAAAATAAAACTGTATCTGGGAGGTCTCTATCTGATTTCGGAGGGACAACATGGATTTTGGAGACTCATCTTAAAGAATTCTGAGAGAGGGCTTCCCTGGTGGCGCAGTGGTTGAGAGTCCGCCTGCCGATGCAGGGGACGCGGGGTCGTGCCCCGGTCCGGGAAGATCCCACATGCCGTGGAGCGGCTGCGCCCATGAGCCATGGCCGCTGAGCCTGCGCATCCGAAGCCTGTGCTCCGCGACAGGAGGGGCCACAGCAGTGAGAGGCCCGCGTACCGCAAAAAAAAAAAAAAAGAATTCTAAGAGAGGTTTTTTGGCTCCACAGAACAATACAGTAACCAATTACTATATAGTCTATCTTCTAATTATGTAATTCTATCTATATATCCTAAGTTAGGACAGTAACTAATTCCATTTAAAATGTCTTCAGAAATGCTGCCTAGGATTTTTCCTACCTTACTGTCATAATAAGAAAGTATTAAAGGAGTACTTTCTAAGCTTCAGCACTTAACTTGACTCACCATATTCTTAAAGATAATTCACTATGTTTTGTCTTCCATTTTTGCTATCAGCCTGTGTTCCTTTGTAGACAGTATATTTTTCCCCTCCAGATTGTTTTTAAAATCATTGTCTTCCACACTCTGTAGTTTCATTACTATGAGTCTAGAGTTTAAGAATCAATTTCTTAAAAAAAAAAAGAATTTCTTTTTCTTTACCTTGTTTGTAATTTGATACTCTTCCTACATCTGAGGATACTCATGTTTCCTTAATTTTGTCTGGCTTGATCATTTAAACTCGTGACTATGAATTAAGTTAAACATACAACATGGGGTGCTTGACTACCCAAGAAATCATCAAGTATCACACAGTAGGTTTATCAATCCCCAAGAAAGAAAACTCATCTACCTTAAAATCTAGTTTTTTGGTCCTTCAAAACATCCTGAATTGTGATATATCAGTTTGAAATGATCAGAACAATAATATGAAGGCAAATAAATGAGTGGGTTTGTCTTGAGAGGCAGACGACACTGAGTGGAGTAGTAAAACAGAAAAGACGAAAGCTCGGGAGGCAGGCATTTCTCCAAACATTTACTAGTTACGCGGTCGTGGAAAAGTTATCTAATGTCTCTGAGTTTAATTTCTTCATCCTAAGAATGGGAATGACAGATTCTACCACTTGGAGTTGTTGTTAGGATTGAGGAAAACATACGTCAAATCTCATCTGACTATAGATTTAAGGGTAAGAACTATGTTTTGCTCGCCACTTGTACCAGTTATCAATTTCTTGCCCTTTCAATACATGCTCTGTGATAATGGGCAGAATTCTTTTATGTACTCCCCCGTTTACAGTAAGCGGGCTATTCGAATTTCTCTGTATAATGGAAGGACACTGCAGGAGGAAAGGGCTTCTCTTGCTGGTTGCAGCTGCTGTAGAGCCCATCAGCAGGACATCTGGTGGTGGTCTGTCCCAGCCACGAGGCCCAGAATATAGATCTTCAGCGACCTCACGTTCCCAGTGTGGCTGGGTGAGTCCCACCTACCTACAGCGCCCCCCCCACCGCAAAGATTCTGAGCATCCCTAGCCTCCCATCCACAGTGACACCCCTACTCCCTCTGTGCGCCCACCGACCAGCTGCACTTCTCCTGCACCCATCCCCTGAGGGTTGCTTCCTGTTTTCCAAGCCACTGGGGACCACTCTGGCCTAGGCAACCCAGTGAGCTTCTCTGCCATCCAGATGCTGCAGCACATCCTCCACAATGAAATCTGAGCCCCAGCCCAGGAGAGGGGTCTTCCTCCCCAGATTGGTCCTCCTTTTTGTACTCTCCTTCAGCCCCAGAGGACTCTTAAGACTGCTCTTTACGTCTTGAAGTTACTGTTTTGTTACGACTTAGTCATTCTTCATAATCCTTCTCCTATTTAAATCACTGAGTGAGTTCTGTTCCCCCACTGGACCCAGACTGATAAATTACTGCTTTCCTCAGTGCCTAGCACAGTGACCAGCAGTGCACATCCGCTCTCCATGCATTCTTTCCTCCCTTCCCCAGTTAGCCTTGAACAATCGGTGACCTGCTCAAAATCCAAGCACAGCTCAATGTGTGGGGCCAAAACTAGAATGCACTTTCTCTGATTTCTAATCATCTCACCAACCGCTTGGATGTTAATGAATGACGTTTCTGGGGAATGGCTGGAAACCCTATGGGGGTTCTACCTGGTTTGATCGTTTATACTCAAAACTGGAGAATTACTTCCAGTCTGTCTCCTGAAGACTTCAGGTTGATTAATTTACTTCCTCTGGTCACCCCCCCACACAAAAAAAGGATTTTTGTTTGTCTGACAATCTGATCCCTAGCATGAAGAACATAAATGTCCTAGAGACTTTTTTTTACCCAAATATGTTAATTCTATTCGTGCCCAATAAGACTAAAATGTAGAAGACATCAAGGCAGGGAGACTGAAATTCAAAAGCACAGTGACTTCTGTAACAGTACAACCACTCCAGTGCTATTTTTAAACTTTTTTTAAAAAAATAAGCATGCCCTTTACACCAGAAAAGGTAAAATAAGCATATTAACTAAGGAAGTGAAAATAAAGGAAAATAAAAACATGAAGTCTACATTTCCCAAGCTTTCCCATTTTATTCAACAGCCTTATCAGTGACTTGGATGAAAAGATTAAAGTTTCACTTAACAGAAAACAAAGAGGGATATAGTTAGCCTGTTACTAGAACCCGCTGTGATGGTTTATACTGGGGGAACTCAGCTAAGCTAGAACTGTATATCTTCGCTTCCCTGTAGAACTGCACTTTAGGATTGCTCACAAGAGAAATGTGTGGGGGATTTAGGAGGCCAGAATGAAGTAGCCATGATGCTCTGAAGGTCATCACTCGTTAGAGGCAGGAAAGGATGAACATGGAGGTGCTAGTGAGGTGCAATTTGTCTTCACTCTTCTGTGCCCCATATCTGGCTGTCCTTCCTAACCGTCAGCCCTGCTGAACAACAGTGAACCCAGGACTGCCAGCAGAAGCTTCACTGCCAACTCAAATGCAGCAGCCATTAAGGACCTTCAAGCCATCAAATGCCTTTCACAGACATTGGCCCCTGTGCCCCTTCACAATTCCACTCTAGCACACACGCGCACCTAGCATCCTGGACACTCTTGACGTCTAACACACACCAGGGCTGGCTCACGACTCCTCTCTGGTCGTTTTTGGACTTTTACTTCCCAGCTCCTATCACAACCGTGTAGGTCTAAATCCTATAAACAAATTCCTTATGCCGTTAACACTCATAGCTGCCTGCTTCCCCGATTCACTCTGATTCATAAGAATCCGAAAACTATGAATAATGGGTTCAAATGAAATATATCTAATTTAACAATGGTATATGTAAAGTTCTGTATTTAGGCTAAAAAGTAAAACAGAGCAAACTACAGAAATAAAGAAGGATTAAAAAATCTTGATTGAAAGCAATTACTGTGAATATCCTAAGGATTCTGGACAATAAATCCACCACGACCTAGGACCTAACACAGTTTGTTTAACAAATAAAAATACAGTATGATCTAATTCTTAAAAAACAAATGCAAAGCTCCATATCATGAGGGTAAAACTGTGTCTCTATAATTTACACTGATAAGACAGCATGAGATATTGCATTAAATTCCAACATATATTACAAAGAAATATGATGTTTTGAAATTAGGAAGTCTAGAAAAAATATTATAAAGAATGGCTTCAGAAACTTTAGCAAAATAAGATCTATGTATGTGTAACTCCAGAGAAGAGAGCTAGGATACATGGACGAAAATTACATAAACAAACACATTTGCCTTCACTTAACAAGGAAGACCATAATAGCAAATACTTTAGAGAAATAGAGGCATCCTGTAATGGAGGGGAAAATGGACTAGATGTTCACCACAGCACTTTAACCTCTTAAAGTTCATGATTTTAAAAGTTACATGGGGTTCAGGGAGGGGGAATAAGGAGTTTGTACATAATGGGTACAAAGTTTAGAGTGATGAAAACATCTTGGAAACAGTACTGCCGGTTGCACAACACTGTCACTGTAATTAAGGCCACTCATTTGTATACTTAAAAGGGGATAAAATAGCAAATTTTATGTTATATATATATATTTCATCACAATTTAAAAAACATGATTCTATTATTCTAGGTGAGAGATACAAAAGACTCAAATTGAAATTTTGACCTAATAAAAAACAACAACTTCATTACTGCTGCGGCAAAGTCCCTTCTTTTGACTAGGAAGAATATGTTTTACCATAAAGGAGTTTTCCTAATGTGAACGCTGCAGTAATCCTGTGTTTCATCAAAGGCATAGCAACTACGTATTCTTCAGCAGTGCTACTGAATCCAACTAGAGTGGTTCCTTAAGGGCAGAAAAATAATTGTACCCAGGAAAAAGCTCATTTGTAAATGTTACTATATTATCATGATAATAAATGTTCTTATTGATGATAGAATGGGACACATACAGTTTAGAAGAAAGTCCTCTTTCATCTACCCATAGCAAATAGATATACAAATACACACATACAGAGACTAAAACACCCACAATTTAATACTTGAGGGGGAAAAAGTATCTAGGAAGCTGGAACAGCAGTCCTTTGTTCATAAACACAGGTTGCTAAATTTTGATAGATTAGGAAGATATCCATAAGAAATCTACAACCAGAAAGCCTGCTGCGTGGAGGCTGGCCAAAGAAAAATTCACTTTAAGATTTCTTGGATGTTTTCTACTCCCCACCAAAACCCATTTTTCTACTTAAAAGTGAATGGAAAAAGATATACCATACTAATACTAATTGGAAGAAATCTTTGAAAAAGAACAAAGTTGGAAGAGTGAGACTACCTGATTTCAATGATTGTTATTAAGCTACAGCAATCCAGACACTGTGGTACTGGTGTCAAGACGGACAATTAGATAAATGGAACAGAATAGAGTTCTGAAATAAACCACACAGATGTGGATAACTGATTTTTAACAAAGGTACCGCAGTGGAGAAAGAATAGTCTTTTCAACAAATGAGGCGGGAACAACTGGACATTCATTTGCCAAAGAAACCCCAAACTGAAACAAAACAAAAACCCCCAGAAAGAACTTTGATATATCCGTCACACCATATCAAAAAAATTGGATCAAAATAGATCATACACCTAAGCATAAAGCCTAAAACTATAATGCTTCCAGAAGAGAACACAAAAGAAAACCTTTGTGTCCTTGAGTTAGCCAAGATTTTTAAAATATGACACCAAAACACAACCCATACACTTTAAAAAATGATAATATGAACTTCTTCAAAGGACACTATTAAGATAAAGACAAGCCAGACTTGGATAAAATAGTTGCAAATCATATATCTGATAAAGGACATGTATCCAAAATTTATCAGGAACCCTCAAAATTCAATAAAAGGAAAACAAAACACCCCAATTAAAAATGGGCTAAAAGATTTGAACAGGTGTTTCACAAAAGATATATGAATGGCACATACGATGGACAGATGCTCAACATCATTACTCACTAGGAAAACGCAAATTAAAACCACAAGGATATACTACATCACACATACTTGCAGGGCTAAAAATGAAAAGACTGATGATACTAGATGTTGGCGAAGATGTGAAGGAACTGGGACTCTCAACCACCGCTAGCAGTACAACCGCTTTGGAAAACAGCTTGGCAGTCTCATAAAAAGTTCGACAGGGACTTTCCTGGTGGTCCAGTGGTTAAGACTCCACGCTTCCACTGCAGGGGGAGCAGGTTTGATCTCTGGTCAGGGAACTAAGGTCCCACATGCCACAGGGCGTGGCCAAATAAATATTTAAAAAATAAAGAGACGCACTTTAAAAATCACTCCGAGATTCACCAACCGAAAAGATAATCACTTAAAATTCACTTAAAAAAAATAGTTCAGCATACACCTAACAAATAATCATTCATTCTACTCCTGGGTATTTACCCAAGAAAAATAAAAGCATATGTCTATACGAAGACTGTAATATGAACAGTCACAGAAGTTTTCACCGTAAGAGTCAAAAACTGGAGACCACCACAATGTCCATCAACATGTGAATGGCTAAGCAAATTGTGTTATACTCATACAATGGGATACAACTTAGTAATAAAAAGGGATAAGCTACTGATATATGCAATGGCAAGGAACGCATCTTAAAATATGCTAAATGAAAGAAGCCAGACCAAAAAACAGTGGCAGTATACTGTACATACGTATACTGTACACTGTATGACTCTGTTTATACAAAACTCAAGAAAATACAAACTCATCTCTACTAACAGAAGGGAGATCAGTAGTTGCCTGGGGACTTGGGCAGGAGGGAGATGTAGCAGGGAGGGAGAGAGGGAAAGATTACAACAGGGTACAAGGAAACTTCTGGGGGAGACATATGCTCAGTATCCTGACTGAGGTGATGGTTCTAGAAGTGTACACATATATCAAAACTTACCCAATTATTCACTTTAAATATGCCAATTATATGTCAATTATACCTCAATAAAGCTGTTATAAAAAGTAAAAACAGCAGCTTATTTGGGATCTAAAACTTTGGGGAAAGTTCCTTCTTTCAAACCAGGAAAAGGCAAGGTTAAAGTTCATGACACAGAGGTCGCTTTTGTATGGATATGATGCCACTGTAAAAAAATAAAAACAAAAACAAAAAAACAAGAAACACTTCCTTTTACAAAGCGCAAATGATAGAGGTTTGTCCATTCACATCCTTCAAGCCCAGTTCCGACACAACTTGTTTCTTAAAGCCTTTCGTTATCACTCAAGTAGAAAGTGATTATTCCCTCCTGTGAATCACCATACCACTTACGTTAATTTTCAGGTATTAATTCAATACATCTATCCATCCACCCATCACACATTTACTAAATGCCTCACACAGAACAGACACAGGCTTGGTGCTAGAAATACAAAAGTGAGTTGAACACAGTGCTTCACTGGCAAGAGCCTCACAGCCCAGTGGCAAAAGACAGATTCATTTTGAAGTAGCAGTAACTATAACAAGTATTTCAACAAACACAAGTACAACAGAAACACAGAGAAAGAAATCCATTTTGTCAGACACACTGTCTTGTACCACAATGATTTGTTCAGGACTCCATTTCCCTACTAGACTAAAGCTTCCTGAGAACAAGGGACCATAACTTATTTTCGTCATCTACTACATTACCTAGCACAGTACCTGGGATGAGTGTTCTATATATGTATACGTATTTGAATGAATGGAAATTCCATTTCACAGGCAGCTACTTTTTGACTTAGCAGGGCCACCACGATGCCAACTTCTCAGGTGAGTGCCAACCTTAATTCACTTTGGTAACCGAGGCAAGTCATTTGAGAGGAGACAAAATCAAAACTTAAATCTCGACCCCCAAATCCCAAAAGAATAGCTAATACCCCTTTCCCCCCAGTGAAGAAAACAGGAAGGAGTAAGAGGTGGGGTAGGGCTTGGTCAGCGGAGATTTAGGACAGAAGAATGACACAAATGAATCTAGGCCCTGCGTGGGTCCCAGGAGGGCCCTGGCTTTCTGTATGTATTGCTAACAGGTATCCCTCTGCCCAGAGAGTACACATGAACGGCAGTCATCTAATCTGAATAGGAATACCAGTCTCATTGTAAAAGCAATTTCTATGGATTTTATATGTGACTTTCTGCTGTCCCAAATGATCATAACCCCCTTATCTATGCTCAGTTTCTGAAGGGGCAGAAAGGAAGAACAGATAACTGTGGGGAATTATAAGTATAGCATAATGGGAAAACCCAGTTCTCTCATTTTTATCAACATATATGCAATTATGAAATTCCAGTTAAATAAAAAAATAGTGAAAAACAAATTTCAGTTAAAATAAGACTAGCACAAAACGAAAAGGTCTCAAGTGACAACTAAAAGACTTGCATTACACATCAAGCAGAAATCCTTCCCAGTTCCCTTAGTGCTACTGAGCATTAGAAGAATGTTCCTCTCTTTCTTAAAGATAGAGCAGATTTGCTCCTTGTACTTACATCTACAGAAATAACAGGTCTCAGGAGGGAAAAAGGAGAAATTTATTTTAATTTGTCTGGACACACCAACCCAACAGATGGCTCCCAGAGAGGACAGGTGTACCCTGGGGACTGGGCTCTTACCTGTAGATAGGGTCCTGCATCACCAGCATCTTGCTCTCATCCCACGTCCACTCCTTTTTCTGCAATAAAAGAAGCTGTAAATGAATAAGTTAGGCTTGTCCTCGGCTACAGAACCAGGGCACACATTGAGCTACTAATGCTTATGCAAACACATGCATTTGCTTCTGGCCTTGTTCCCTCTAAGAGGCCTGGAGTCGACTGCTCCAAAAGAACAAGTGGAAAATGTCACGTATCTGGTCTGATCAGTTTCCTTCAAGCACTTTAGGAGAGTGTCTCTCACGGGTGCAGCGGGTAGGCAGGGGCCAAGGGGTCTCAGGAGACTGCAATCTAAATCATACTTTCGTGGAGAAGTCACCAAGGAAAAAAAAAAAGATCATACATTACTCCAGAGGAACAGGAGAGGCAGGGAGCACAAAAGGGAGAAGGGGTCATAGAGACTGAATGATGCCATCAAATGCAAATGATGTGTGGACCCCAGCCTCCCTCCCTTAAAGAGGGGGAGAAAAGGCTGCACACAAGACTGACAAGCTAACTAGTACATTTACAGCCGCCCATAAGAGGATACTCATCTGGCTTTGAACCTAACTTTCTGTGAACACAAAGGAGACAGATCCCTTAGCAGCTGGGGATGAGGACAGGAATGAGGATGTAGGAAGGTGGGGGGAGAGGATTCTGGCGCAGTACTGGAGAGCCCAGATGCTTGATGAGGTCAGTAGCACCCCAACATGTTGGAGAAGCGGCCGCCACATGCCCTCAGGTCCCACCCGTAGGTGCAGGGACAGAGGATTCTGCTCCACCTTCACTGGCCTTTGTCACAGGGGCAATGCTGTTCAGGACACCTGGGGAAGAACACACTCAGCTCCCCAGGGAAGAGAAAGGGGGTAGGGGGCTCATTACCAGCTGGCAGAGGTGAAAGTCCCTGCACTCCTCTTAGCTGGAGAGCCTGGAATCCCTTGTTACTCCTGGCAAAGGGGGAATCTAGGTTTCCCACTCACAGTCTTTGCTGGCCTGGGTGGTGGGGAGCCCGTTTTTCTGTGTTGTCTGGCTGGAAGTTTTCTGCCTTGCTATGCCGTCCCTTCCCCCCTCCTCTGGCTAGAGAGAGAGCAGGCTTTGTTGGGGTTCTGTGCCATATCCAGGTTGCAGGCTTCTTCGGCTCCGAGTCTGGGATATATGAGATTAAAACTAACCTCAGGGAGCTCACGGCTGCGTGATGCCGTGCGTCCCCAGCCAGTCTGCCTTGCCCCACCTTTACGTTTGTTTTACAGATAATGTCCAGGGTTTCCAGTTGTACTTTAGCAGGAAGAATAGAGAAAAATGCACCCATCCAAAAAGTGAAAGTCTGGCTTGTATGTTTTTTAAAAAACTCCAGATGCCGGGGCTCCAACTCTTTGGAGTCATTCATATGATGGGTCTAAGCTCACGTGAGGCCCTGTAATCTGTAGCTTTTAACAAACATTTCAGGTGACTGGGATGTGACCCTAGGGTTGAGAGACATTCTTCTATACCAGAGAAAAGGTATACATTGAGATCCCCACCAGGAGGATCTCTTTCACGTACAGCATGGTCCTCTGGAGTCTCAGGCCTGGCACAGGAAGGGTCTCCTGACACTAAAGACAGCCAACCGGTGGTGATCCCGTTAAGCACTGTCCCTGGCCAAGGCCCACGCCTGGTGTTACTCAATAAACAGCCACTGTGAACTAAACACCCGGACGACTAACAGCAGAGGCTGCTCTGCTTCTGAGGGAATCGAGCCTCAGTTTTCTCATGTTCTTACTATCAAGAAAGTCTGCTCGGGCTTCCCTGGTGGCGCAGTGGTTGAGAGTCTGCCTGCCCATGCAGGGGACATGGGTTCGTGCCCCGGTCCGGGAAGATCCCACGTGCCGCGGAGCGGCTGGGCCCGTGAGCCATGGCCGCTGAGCCTGCGCGTCCGGAGCCTGTGCTCCGCAACGGGAGAGGCCGCAACAGTGAGAGGCCCGCGTACCGCAAAAAACCCCACAAAGAAACAAACAAACAAACGAAAAAGAAAGTCTGCTCGTAAGAGTCCTTGCTGCTCTGATGTAATTTTCGAAGTTAACACAAGAGTTAATAACTCAGTGCACCAAAAAGTCCATAAAACTCTGAGAAGCTGCCCACACCCACTGCCCCCCTCGGAGGAAAGCAGCCCCAGAGAGGGTTCTTTCTGAGTGTGGGTGACTTGGCTCATGCTGTGAGCATCTGATGAGCCGTCCTTGCTAACCCAGCCGTGACTGACGGAGCTCAGGATCAGCAGCCGACTGCACATGAGGAAGGTCAAGTGTCACGGAGGGGCTGGCCAGACCTGCCTAGTCCTTGAGCACCACGATGAGAAGGATCCAGTTCCACCCACTCACATCCTCTCACTGGAGACTACCAAGTCCTAGACGGAGCCTAGGCTGAACCCCCAGGAACGGTAGGTGGTTTTTGGGACCAGCTGCATACTTTCCACTCAAACAGACTGCACCGCTGAGGAAGAGGAAGCATCGTGTGCCAGCCCATGTTTCCACCTAGCCTGAAATAAGCCTCTGTTAAAGTTGATCTGGGCACGACTCCTCCTTGCAAGTCTAAGGAATGCAACTAATACATTCATCAAAAAGAAAGAATAATGAGGCAAAAAAAATACAGAATAAATATTTTTCTTTCTCTGCAAGATATGAGGAGAAGGATGGGGAGACCAGACTCCCAGGGAACCTTGTGTTAATTTGAGGAACCTCAGAAGGGTCCACGGCAGGCAGAAAATACTTTCCTTTTTAAAGTGATATCATCATCGGTATAGAATATCCTGGCCAAAAATAGTAAACATCTTTTCACTTACTTACTTACTAATTTTCCTTTTCTGAAAACCCCATTAAAATCCATTTAAGTAAAATCCATAAAATCCCATTAGATCTCCCTTTAAAGGTCTTGCAGTAATCCTTGCAGGAGTCCATTCAATCTATGCAGGGATAAGGAAATTATCAAAATAACTCAAAGGGTTTGGAGTGTAGACGGGACTCAACAATGTATCAGTTATTCAAGAACCTAAGGCAAATGTGGTTGGAGCATTTTACCCCAATCTCCTCAATGCCTGAATGATGTTCCAACACTCTGATAACTGAAGCCTCTCCACTCCTCCTTGCCACACACTTAATATCCTTCCTATCCCACCATCTTTCAAATAAGACCCAGAGCAGTGCAGTTTCTTGAGCAAGGTGTCCCCCTAGTTAATAGCCCAGTCAAGACTAGAATCAAGTTCTCCTGATTTTCTGACCCGTACAGGTACTCTGGTACAATTCAGAGTCAACATGGTATTATCTGAATAGCGTAACCCAGAGGGAGGCAATGCGTGTCTTAAAAACTATTTGATTCTTCTCTTTGCTCTGACATTGTTTTACACGTCTCCTCCATTTGCCAAATGTTGTAGAGAAAAAAACACACGCACAAAGAGATCACCCCCTCCTCACTTTTCTACATGGAAACATTCTTCTAAGGAAAAAATTTTAGAAAAAAAAAGGTTAACGAGAGAAAGAAAACAGGAAGAAAAGCTACTGATCTACCTTTATAGGATTATAAATCAAAGTTGGCTTCAACCATAAAACAGAGACATATTATTGAATGGTAATTATAGTCCGCAGAAAACTCACACAACTCCAAGTTACACCTGAAAACCACTTTTTTTTTAGTGCTTGGAAATAAGCCTTGGAGTCTTGGTAGCTATGTGAGGAAATTGTCAGTTTTGCTACCCACTATCCTCAATGAGCTATGGTCTCCAACATATGCCAGGAAATGAAGACATTTCAAGTCCAAGTGGGAGTGGAAAAGGAGGTGGAGGCGGGGAAGAGAAGAGGAAAGGAAGAGGGGATACATCTTTAAAGCTGTCAGCACCTCTCTGAGTGCTTCTGAGGGAAAGAGCACCCTTCACAGCCGTACTCACTGCAAACAGCCCAGGGGGACCAGCAGGACTGATCGAGGCTGGTCTTCAGGCTCCTTGCATCTGAAGCCCAGGCTCAGGCAGGGCCTCACTGGTATCACTGGGAGCACAAACAGTACCAGCATTGAGGCCAATGAGTGAGGCTCAGGGAGACAAGATCTACCTCCTCACTAGCTCCATAAATATAAAGAAACGGGGGTAAAAATATGAGTGGGTCTGGCAGAGCACCTAGTGGAGCAGACTGGTGCCCTTGGGGCAGCTGTCTGGCATTTTGCCATACATATACAGAATTGGGGTATCACTTCTTTCTCTTACTCTTTGTCCCCTCCGTACCTACAAAGGACACTCAGGGCACTGTTGAGCCTTTTAAGAGGCCTCTGACTTAGTTTATTAACCTGTCTCTCTCCATGCCTTTCCCTACCCCAGCAGTCTCCCCTTCCCTCCCCTTTTTCTTCTCTTTTAAAAATGAATTCGTTACTCCAAGGTAATTAAAAAGTCATGAGATGTAGAGAGTAGCTTCACTTGAAAGAAGGTTCTGCTTCATATATTGGCTAGTAAAAAATTTCTGGAGAAGAGAAGATGTTATTACAAGAAGGTGCCCCACAGACCTCCAATTACAGGAAGTTTAACTAACCAAGGGCCCCCCGGCTGCTGCATTCTGAAATCCATCATTACGTGCGCACAGGGGCCCTGCCCCCAGACAATGACCAGTGTGCGGAGATCCTGAGGAAGCCCATTCCTAGGAGACACCGGGATCCTCTGACAGATGACTCTGGCTTCAGAACTCCCTGACGGCCCTGCCAAACCTTCCTCAGACCGTGCTGTGCTCTCAGAGACCTTCACCCAACCTACCTGCTTCCTTCCTTCCTCTCTCCTTCACTTGGAGTCAGACCCACACTGAAATCTGACAGCTAGCCCAGCCTTGCCTCCCCACCTCCTCCCACAGGCATTTAATCCTGTCTTGGCATTTACTTGTTGGAGGACCTAGAATAACACAGAAAGTGAGAAAGTAAAAAAAAAAAAGAAAGATACAGGAAAGTCATATTCAGCTGCTTCACTTTTTGTTCTCACAGGAAATTTCCCAGTTGATATGGGGAAAAAAAAGTCCTTTCTTCCATTTAAGAACTTTATATATTGCTTCCTTGACACTATCAAAATTCATCTCAACTTTACAGACAAACAATGAGGCTCCGGAAGTGAACTTACTCCCCTGCAAGGCCATCTAGTCCAGGGGTAATTAAAGTCCAACCTGTCTACCTCTAGACCCCACGTTCTCTTTGCTACTCTAAGTGATGAATTCAAAGGTTTTCACTCTCCGCTGCCAGGAAGCTTTTCACTTTCAACAGAGGGAGAGGGTAACAGGCTTTCGGCGTATGCTTTTATAAGACCGCCGAATGAGGTAAGCACATCCTTGAGTTTAGATTCTTCTCTTTTCCTTATCTAATGAGTGCAAATATCCAGTCCCCCGTGGAAAGTTACAGCCATTTTGTTATTCCAAAATCTCCTGCCAGGGAATATTATATGGGAACTGGTTCAGAGGTAGGTCTGCCTGGAACAGGGCCAAGAACAGAAAACAGAGTCAGGGATAATTATCACAGAGCTCCTTCCTCCTTTTGGAACCCAGAACTGGATATGGCATTTTTGAAGGCCTTCCCTAGGAACCCAAAAGTAGAGGAAGAATTTGTATTTCCCTTTATTTCCTATCCCTACTGGAAACTATCAGTAGCCACATCACAAAGTCTGTCCGCTTTATCATTACCTATGCTCCTGAAAGCAATGGTGACTTCTCAAAAAATAAGAAGAAAAAAATTTTTTTAAATCACCGTGCAAAGGCCACATTAACTCAGCTTGGCAAGTTCTCCATGCCACCAGACAGAATAGGATTAGCCTGAAAACACAGCTACCACCCATCTTAAGGTATAACCTATATAGATATAGAAAACGCATTTCAAAACTGAAGCACTTAATAAGTTCTCACACAACGCACAAAATTCCTAATATACCTGTTTTAAAACTAGCAGAAAACATGGTAGAAAGAAGACTGGACTCAGTTTAGTCCTGGCTCCATAACTAGCTGGGTGACCTCAGGACCGTTACCGGGCCTCTCTTGTCCTCTGTTACCACATCTAATCAATTAGGGGATCAGACTAGAGCATTTCTAAAGCTCTTTCTCCCAAATTCTGGTTCTATAATTCTAAGTGCCTCCTTTTCTTACCCAAATAGATCTAAGTTGTGTGTTTCTATAGGAACTAACAGTACTCTTTGAGCAGGAAACTCGTTTCCTTGTGATGTGATATCCCAGTGACAGGGTAAAGGCTAGACGTTAAAGACACTGGATTAATTAATTAGGCATTTCCTATAGAGCAGTTTTTCTCTAAAGGATTCTGAAGAGATTAGTGCACCCACAGCCACATGGTAGTAGGAAGAACCCACTTGGGATCTGAACAAGACAGACCTGGTTCAAACCTCAACTTCACCACTGATGGGACTTGAGGTCTTGGGCAAGTTGCTTATCGTCTTCTGCAAACCAAGCCTTAAAATGGTACCTACCTCACAGGATGGTTGTGTGGCTCTAATAAGTATACACTGCATGAAACAAGGCCTGGTAATGGCAGGGGCTCAATATCAGTGTTAGCTATTATTGTTAGCCGTTCTCATTATCATCTTAGTGTGTAATTACGTTCATCAGCTTGCCGCCACTGGTCTTCTACCCTCTCAAACAGATGAAATAGAATTGGAAAGAAGACATGGTCCCTGGCCCTAAAGGCTCGCAACCTACGGGGTAAACAGACAAATAACTATAATGCAATGCTATAGGAGCTATGATAGACCTATGTATGCATATAGTGTCATTCAAAATAGCTAACTTTGCTGGAAAGGGTCCATATCTAATACCCCTATGTATCCTACCCAGTTCCTTGAACATGGTTGACACAGTAAATATTTGTTAATGAGAACAGCAGAGCCTTTCTAGAACAATGCTTTAGGCTATTCCAACAAAGTTACTGGTATATATGAGAAACCACAAGAAACAGAGGCCCTTTAGGGTCCTTTTGTAGAAAAATCCTTTGGATGATTCAAGACTAATCTTCCTTATTCAGAAGCCCCTCCCTAGCAAATGGTGCAAGAGTGTGATTCCAATACTATGATAAATAATCATTATCATATACACAGGAAAGATCATTACTTGGGCCTAGTTGGGAGTTGAAGAAAATATATTGATTGAGAAACAACAAAGCAAAGCCAATTTTCTTAGTAGCTGGGTTCACACCACAAATACAACCTAAGATTCATATGGGAATTTGAGATTCATTATCTGTTAGCATCAGTTCAAGATAACAGCATTTTAGGGCTTCCCTGGTGGCGCAGTGGTTGAGAGTCCGCCTGCCGATGCAGGGGACACGGGGTCGTGCCCCGGTCCGGGAAGATCCCACATGCTGCGGAGCGGCTGGGCCCGCGAGCCATGGCCGCTGAGCCTGCGCGTCCGGAGCCTGTGCTCCGCAACGGGAGAGGCCACAACAGTGAGAGGCCCGCGTACCGCAAAAAAAAAAAAAAAAAAAAAGATAACAGCATTTTAGACACATTAATATAACCAAAAAGATTTTTTTTTTTAACATCTCAGTAAGAGATGATCACAATATATTTAGCTACTGCCTGCACTAGAATAGAGCACCTGAAGTTCAGAGGGACTGAAGAAGTCCTACTCATAAAGTTAGCAATTTCCACTGAGGCCTTTCTACACTTGTGAAGGCTCTCATCCTTGTTTTTTTTTTTTTTTAAATGGGAAGGTTGACAGACGAGAAAGAGGGAGAAGAATGTGATAGCCAGAAGTAACAAATGAGACTTCATTTGACCCAACTGCTAAGTACTTAGTTCTTCCTGATTTAATGACCATGATACACAAAACATGTTCATTTACCCAGCTAGCCAACAGCCAAAATCGTTGGAAACACACTACACGTACCAGGTGTCCAAGTGAGTGCTGAGCTTACAGAGATGGCCCCTGCCCTTAAAACATTCTCTGGAGAGCAGGGAGTCCCTGTAAACATGCTTCTCCCCACAGCCCGGAGGCATACCACCATTCAACAGTCACGGACAGGCTAGGCAAACAGAGGGGGCTTGGGGGCTGCTTTGGGAAGTGTTTAACCTCTGAGGTTCCCATCCTGCCTCAGAAGTTCAGGGGGCAGAAACACACAAACCTATTTGGCCTCTAGGGTCTGCTTTCTCTGTAGCCCAGAAGGTTCTCAAAAACCTGAATAAGCACAGGTGACCTATACAAACACATGCAAGCACCGAAAAGCACGGTGCAGAGTAATTGATCTGACAAGGGTAAAGTGCTCACCTAATCCAACTCTTCATTTTACAATTGAAGCTCCAAAAAGCAAAATAACTTGCTTAGAGCCACATAGTCAGAAAAAGAAGAGCCAGGACTACAACCCAGGTCTTCTCCTCTCAGCTGAGGGCTCCTTCCAGCATGCCACACTGACCCAGTGAAAAGCAACATGCTGGCCACGCTCTAGCCTTCCTGCAGGCTGAATAGCAGCAGTGGCTGGGTCTTGAGGGACTATTTAAATAGATGGGCTAAAGCAGCAATAACTGTAACAAGAGGACACAAGGACACACCATGGGGCCGGACGCCACCTCAGCTGGAACTGAGAGTTATTCCTGCAACAGAATGGGACAACTTCTGAGGAAGCCGCCTCTTATCCCCTCCCCCACTGAACCCTGCTACTTGTCCACACTTGAATTTAAAGCATTTCCCAAGATCAAGACTCAAAGGCAAGGGTTTCAAATGGGGGGAGGGGTCTGAATGCCAGGATGACAGGAGATGACCCTTGTCACTCACGGGATACGAGGACTGAGCAAGCCGAACAGCTGACTAGGCCTTGGGCCCCTGCCTCACCCTTTGCTCCAGCTGTAGCCTCTCAACACTATTGCTGGTCAAAGCAAACCACCTCACCAGGTAAGGGAAGGAGTCTGTCCAGAAGGTAGCCTAGAAAGAAAAGCTATCCCACGCCTACCTCCCCTCCTTCCCTCTTCACCAGAGTTTGTGGCTCAGAGTCACTTACCTTCTTCTTCTTCTTCAGAATCACTTTCACTCCGTCCACTGAAACCATAATGCTCACCTTCTTCTTCTTGATGTTTTTGGCTTTAAACTCATACTGCAAGTGAGAAGAGAACAAAGGGCACAGTCCAGTTAGATCACTGCATCTGCACAGCCCCAGAGAGCTCATGACCTGGAAAAGAGGGCCACAGATGGGTCTAGGGAGCTGATGCAGTTTCTGGGGACATCAAGCACCTCAGGGGATGTAAAAGCAGGCAGATGTCTGTAGGCAGGGGCTCGGCAATATTTGGGTTGGAACAGGGACTCTGAATGGTCACTGGTTTCACCACTCAGCTATCAGGTAGGGCCATGGGAATAGGACCTGATCCATTCTATCAAGATGAAAACAGAGCCTACTTTGAAAATCTCATGAGAAATCCAGAACCTTCCCTCGATAACTCATTCTGACATTTAATGACTTTCGTTGGCAGGCAAGTTTTCCTCGTGTCTACCCAAATGCTGCTGGGACTCTATTCCATCCTCAATGAAGATTAGGAAGAGCTGGCACCCATCTTCAAATCAGGGATTTTACATACTTAAAGATCATTATGCTATCTAAGTTATTCTCTGCAAGTTCAAGTCCCAAATTCTTTTATCTGTAGGTCAGTCTCCAAATCCACCCACAGCCCCATTAACCTACAATATTCTAGAGAGTATTCTAGAAAGGATCTGACTAATGATAGTTATAAGGGAGGGCATCACCTTACAAACCCTATATTCTAAATTTCTATTTGCAATCCTGAACAGGGCTGCTTCAACCACAACTACACTGCTGAGGGATGCTGGCTCTCATCCTCAACCCCAGATATTTTTCTATCATATTTGCTCACTCACGGCCATTTCTTAGGTTTGTGCAGATATTCAGAGTGGTGGAATCATTCTACACTTTCCTCACTGAACTTCATTCTGAGCGCGTACCCATTTCCATCTGGTTCCCGTCTTGGTATCACCACCTAGCAAACTTACCTGCCAAGCTCTCTAATCAAAGATCTGGCCTACAGATTAAAAAAATAACAATACAAGACCCGGGACCAAAATCTCTACTCCAACCTACAGGCTCTCTTCTCTGGGACCTTTTATACTCAAAACCCTTTCCCACCATGCCACCACCCAAGCTTATTTAGTAAGGCGTCCAGCTCCTTGCCTGGACATCTAAAACCTAACTATTTCTACTTGGTGTTTTGACAGATATGAACCTAATCCACCCTAACAAGATGAAAACGTAACCTACTTTGAAAGTCTCACGAGAAATCCAGAACTTTCCCTTGGCCATGCCATTTAATACTCTGATTTTAAGAACTCAGATTAGAGCTTCTTACCGTGTCTGTATTCTAGCCCTTCCACTGAGGTCTCAACTCATTTTCTTATTCTGTTGCAGAGTTACTGCTGATGCCCACTGGCTGTCAGCTTCTCAGAGACAAGGACATGACCTAGCTAACTGAGGTGAAACATTTCTCTTTACATCGTCAGGGCAGGTTCTGGTTTACTGCTGATCTGAGTTTCCAGGTGATGGCAACATACATCACTCCCCAGTCTGGTGGTCACTTCTCCCAGCCTCCCCATCACTCTATCCTGTCAACAGCTGTCCTTTTGACCAGCGATCCTGAAAGAAGAGCAAACCGCAGCAGCAGACACGTAGGAGAAAGAGAAGAAAACTTCAGCTTCAGACTCTGCTTCAGAGTCTGGGAACCCAAAGCCAATTAAGAGTGATACAATAAAAGAGAGCAAGTGTATCTGACAGGATGGGGAGAAGTGCTATCTGTGCTGGAGTCTGGCTTATAAGAGGGCCTCGGCCACGTAACAAATTTCTCTCTAGGTCAACGGTCGTAAGCTGGTGAAGGCTCGAGTTGTGTGACTGGCATGCACTTCAGGACACAGCTACGATTTGCGGTGTGTCCCCTGACTGCAGCATTCTGCTCAGGTGCACCACTAGATGAACTGAAATTACCCCTGGGTGGGAGAACTAGCACGAGGATCTGTCAGTTGGCTGACTTTGGCCTTGTGCCTGCTGGGAGAGGTGAACCAGCTCCATTTCCTGACCTCACCTGCATTTACCTCTGCTCACAGGCTTTCAATGAACACAGTCTTTCAGCTGTGCCTCCCTTAGGGACAAATCACTAAAATCATAGCTGCTTGTGCCGGTCGAAGGAGGGCAGAGAGGTGTGTTTTGATGAACTCAGGGGGGAGACAAGGGCTTAAGAGTCCAGGAAACACCCGGAGGTGGATAAAACCTGCCCTAGACAGGTCAATCCTTGCCTGTTTTATTGTCTTTGCTCTCTTCCAGCACGTCACTCTCACAAGCTCCACGCACTTCCTTCTTCCCTTTTTCCAGCAAAAAAGTCAAAGCAGTGAATACTAAGTACCTACCTCTGTGGGGCAGGATGTCACCTCCCAGCCCTGGTTTCAGAGAGCATATTGCCTGCTAAACCAGACCCTTAAATGTCTTATATTTCCAGGAAAATCTCGTAGCTGGCCATATCTCTTTCTTGTTTGGTCCACCACCCTATTGGTTTCATTCTCTCTGGGATCTTTTTAAAATCGGTATCCCCCGACCCAAGGCTCGCAAGAGACGCCCGACCAGCTCCTTGCGTGTGTATCTGAAACCTGAACTATTTCCACAGTTCGTGTTTTGACAGCGTTGGCCATGCCTGTAATACCCTGATCTTAAGAACTCCAAATGCAGCTAAACATTCTCTTTTAGCTGGAACTGGAAAACAGCCTCTAATTCGATCACTGTGTACATACTCCCAGGCGTCTCTTCTGTGGTGTGTGGGGCACAGTAACTACATGTTACTGTGAGAAGCATGACCAAACGATTGCATTATAATCTCAGTGACAGTGACAGTACAGGTGCTCCGCCTTACCACAGCTGGTGGAAGGCTCTTTGGAGTGCTTCAAAATGAAGAGGGCAGAAGAGGCATGAAATCGGCTTCTAGCCCCTGTTACAGCTACCAGTATGTACTACCTGACTGCTACTCAGAAGGCTCTTAGGTTCGACACACGTCGCACCTACTCCACCTGTCTGGTGGTCAGATGTCCCAAACCCTTTCCAACTGAAGAATAGGTACTCAAATGGTAGTTTTGTTGAAAACTAGGGAAATGAAATCAAGTGTCTGAAAAGGTTTAAATCTTTATTATCATAAAACCATTCATTTATATGGCAATTATATTTCACTTGGACAACCATGTTATTGTGCTTACTGTGGGGATGGAAAATGGATTTGGAACAGAGGAGATGTTGGGAGAGACTAGAACAGAGAAAAGAGACTCACAGAGACAAGCCCTCCTTTTTACCAGACTGTGCTGCTCCGAGGGGCAGGCGGGCCCAGGAGGAAGCATCTGTGTTCCTCAGGATAGGAATCTAGTCTGCCCAGGCTTTGCTAGGGGCTGAAGAACAAACAGGACTGCTGATGCCACCGTCTGTGGCCCAGGCCCGCCTCCCACAAAGCCCATGCCAGCTCTGGAGTCTGTGCCAACAGGCCTGGCTCTTCCCCCAACATGGCCAGACTGACCTGATATATTTGCTTTGCTAGTCAGAGCCCCACCAGCAAGGACAGATTAAACCTTACAGGACCTGACCTTGTAGGGAACGAAACAATACAAGCCCTGGAACACTAACCACTGACTAGAAAGACCAAATGTCTAGGGTTCATAAACAGAGCCTTGGGACCCTGCATGGGAATAGCAGCCCTGGAACTCAGAGTGCTCTGCCAACCAATGAGGCCCATGAAGGGGAAACTGGGTAGAGGGAGGGGTTCAGATCCAGCAGGAGCCAGGAGTAAACACTCCACCAGAACACTGGCGGGAAGTCAGAGAGCTGCCAACAGAACAGGATATCTCTGATACCCCAATGCTTCCCTGTCCCCAACTCCCAGAACTACCTCCTAATCTTGTGTGTCTCCAGTTTCAGCCACAGGGTGTCCAAGAAGGGGAAGCAGGAGGTCTGTAACAGGGAAGTGAGTTAATGAAGGGACTGGCCCAGCCCTGGGCTTGAGGCTGTACTGCAGAAATAGAAGCAACAGAATCACTTTCTCAGTAGTCAGGAAGGTTGGGGCTGTATACACACACGTACGTGCACACACACACACACACACACACACATACACACACACACCCTCTTAACAGTCTATTTTCACAATAATGTCTAGCTCCCTGAAGAATCTAGTTTTTTTTTAAAATAAGGATCCTTGGTTCCTCAATTACCTTGTCTACAAACAACTTACCGAGTGATTGCACTCTCTCACCAGCTACGTAGGAAGCTGGTCCTCTCACTCGTCTCCATAAAATTTCTTTTGCCTAGCTCCTTCCCACTGTCCCCACAATGCTTAGTTATGAATCAAGATGCTCAGAGGCTACTTTATCAAGAGAGGAGATTTAGTTTGCAAACGCAGTTAGTGATGCTCTTGCTTGGTAAGTCCCCGGCTTATAATCATCTGTGTTCACCACCTTTCCAGAGTTAAGTCTTTGGAGGCTTTGCTTCCTGTTCATGAGCACAGGAAATTTAAAAGTGAATTCTACTAGTGCCATTGGGTATTTTAATCATATTCTGCCCATAGTCTTGTTTTCAAGAGTGCAAACACATCTCCACAACAAAACTGTAAGCACCTCAACCAAAGGCACCGTCTTAACAAGGGTTTGTAAGAAATCATTTTGCACTTAACATGTGAAAGTTTAACAGCTTAGGTAATAAGATACAAAATCTGAGTAGGTCCATATTCAGAGCATATTCACAACAGCCCAAAGGTGGAGGCAACTCCAGTGTCCACTGACGGATGAACAGATAAACAAAATGTGTTAGAGACATACAATAGGATTTACTCAGCCTCAGAAAGGAGATTCTGGCACGTGCTACAACATGGATGTAGCTTGAAGACATTATGTTAAGTGATGTTTATGTTAAGCTGGAACAAACAGACAAATATTACATGATTCCACTGACATGAGGTACCTAAGAACAGTCAGATTCAGAGACGGAAAGCAGAATGGTGGTCTTCAGGGGCTCGGGGAGGGGACAGAGTGAGGAGTTAGCATTTAATGAGTACAGATTTTCAGTTTTGGAAGATGAAAAGATCTGGAGACGGACAGTGGCGGTGCCTGTACAACAATATAAATGCTGTATGTAGGTGTCACAGAACTATACATTTAAGAATGGCTGACATGGAAGATTTTATGTAATGTATATTTTGCCACAATAAAAGATAAAAATCTGAAGACACCGTAACAGACACATTTCTTTTCACGGCAAGTCCCCTTAAATTCTGCTTGCAAAAGGGTATTGCCGTTACTCTCCCACGTGCAAGTCAAACATGTCATACTTTTCCACACTTCCATGTAATTGCATTTGCTAATGTGTATGCCCAGAATGCCCTCTCCCCCCCGCAATCTGCTTATTCTTAAAATATCTACTTAGTCTTCTCCACAGAGAAGCCTTGCAGGTCAACGCCCCGTTCCCGTATGCTCCCACGGAACTGCACCACCCACTTCGTTGCTACAGCAATATACGAGCCTCCACTATCACTCACCGTTGATTGGTTGTGTATTTCCCCACTAGGCCATGCCCTCCTTGAGAGCAAGAAAAATGACTTACACATATCTGCAACCCAAGAATATAGCACCAGGACACAGGAGGGTGACCAATGAATGTCAAATAAATTAATGAACACAGTGGTTAAATCAATTACATAAATTAATTGACTGGTTATTCACAGAGCCTGAGAAAACATGACACTGTCCACAAAGGTATAATAAAATAAATGCCCCATAAGTTAATTAATTAACAACTTAAGTTATTAAAACCTAGATTCCATTTCATGGGCATAAGGACTTTAAGAAGATCTGGCTTTAATTATTCCAAACTCCACAGCACACTGATAAGTACCTTATCTTCTGCTTGATCCATACTTCATTAAATGAAGTAATTTAGAGCTTCCTTCACTGGTCAAGGCTATTCTCAATCATCTCATGGCACAGTTAGAGGTAAGAAATCAGGGGGATGGTCATGCACATGAGCCTCTGTTCTCCGGGCTACCCAGCTTCCCTAAGTTCCAGCTCCTATGGAGCCAGATTCTGAAGGACAGGGCACCCAAGAGCCATGGCAGTCCCTGACATTGCTGTGTGGCTCAGTGACTTGTACTGTTCATTCCTATGAAACCTAAGAAATGCAAGACAAAGACCAAAGTGGGTACTGAATCCAAATTCTAGAATATCTGAGGCTTCTTGGGAATACCAGGTAGAGACATTTAGTTCCTATCTATCAACCTCAAGCCCAGCGTA